CACGCTGTCCCTGTCCCCCGTGTCCCTGCGTGACGTCTGCGCCCGGTTAAATCAGATCCGAGCTGAATCCCAGCGTTTCCTTGGCAACATCAAGGAATCCGAGGAGCAAAAGCCACCAGGCAGGGCCAGGCTGGGGGACAGCCAGCGCCCACCGAGCCCAAGTGGCCACCAGAGCCACGGGGACAACTGTGGCAAGCACCAGGCATCCCCCATGGTCCAGCTCATCCTGGAGAGAATCCAGGACAGAGCGTGGGTAATCCGCTCTGCTGGCACCTCGGTGCCGGCTGTGGCCACCACGGGCAGCTGGCAGTGGGGACAGGCAGGAGGTGGCACCGAGCAGCCACCGTGGGTGCAGCCATGTGGCCCCAAAAACTGGGGCAGCTCCGTGGGGATGCAGGAACCCAGCCCTGGGATGGGTTCGGGATGGGATCGCCCTGCTCAGATCCCAACCCTTGTCCTGGTGGCACTCAGGGCAGTGCCAGGGCAGTGCCAGGGCTGGGGCTGGTGGCCCTGGCACAGAGGCAATGTGGAGACGAGCGTTTCCCTTCTCGGCTGCTCGGCTCCGAGCTCTGCAATGCAGCTCGCACGGCTCGGCTGCTGTGTGTGAATCCCATCAATATTTCATGGAGCTGCTTCCTCCAGGGGAAGGGCTGCTCTCAGCTCCGGCTTTCTGCTGCTCCTACCAGCAGGGAACATCTGATTTCCTTCCACCAGCACCCAGCGGTTCCTCCTTGTCCTCCCCATTCCACACCGGTAAATATCCCTGTGCCTTCCAGGGGCTCTGGATCCTGAAATCCCTCAGGTTCCAGCACTGGCACCTGCCCAGTGCTCCTGGGGTCTCCAGGGACAAGCCAGCAGCTCCAGGATGGGTCACTGAACCCACCCACACCCCCAAATCCACATCCAGGAGTGGGATGTGCCAACAGCCTGGCTGGATCTGACATTCCCTGCCCAGCCTCATCCATCCCGCAGATCCCAGCTGGCTCCCGAGCCCAGCAGGAGTCGGGGGTGAGCAGCTTTGTTTGCAGAAAAAGTTGCTTTTTTAACTGCTAAGGCTGCACAATTATTCCCGAGCTTCTTCAGGGATCAGCAGAAAACTTGGGAAGAGTTTTGGGAGCCGGAGCGATGCCAGGAGGGGGCAGAGCCTGCGGCAAAGAGCCCTGGCTGTGGCACGGGGAGCTGGGGAGGCTCCCGGGGGTGGCAGCGGCTCCTGCATCCCTGGAAGGGCAGGAGGATGGGATGGGGATGGGGATGGGGATGGGATGGGATGGGATGGGATGAAGGGATGGATGATCCCAAGGTGCTGCTCCACTTGTGAGAAGATGAGGCCAAAAGCTCCGGTGTTGCTTCACCACCCAACAACTTGAATCTGCACAATTTCCAATTCCCAGGGTGAAACTTCCATCTCCAGGAGTCTTTTTGGCTGTGGAAAGGATGAGGAGGCTGGAGAGGATCCCAGCAGAGCATCCCAGGGCAGGGAAGCAGCTCCTGATCCCGGCAGGCAGCAGGAGGAGTGGGGCTGTCAATCCCTTCCCAATAATTCCTAATTCCTCTCTCCCTGCTCGTGGAGATGGGGTGACAAAACATTTGAAATGCCTTGACAGGAACGCCAAGAGCTGCTGCCACACAGCTCCGGTTTTAATCAGCAGGAAAATTAAGGATTTTCATCGCCTTAAACTGCATTTTGTATCCGTGTGAGGCTTCCCAAAGGGCTGTGCTGCAGCGGGAGCCCACGGAGAGCTGAGCTCCAGGGATGAGAGCAGCTCGGGGGGGATGGAACGGAGAAAATTCACCCCCGGACTTGGGGCCAAGCAGCCCAATGTCACCTCTGTCCCTGTCCCACAAAGGCTGGAATGGGGACAAAGCGAGAGAGAGCGCTGGGAATGTGGGAGGTGGCAGGAGTTTGGCCTCACAAAGGGATGTCGGAGATGGAACAGTGAGAGAGGTGTGAGCACAGCAGGAGTGGCCTTGGGGAGGTGTCGGTGCGGCAAGAAATGAGCACAAGGAGAACTGGGGCTGGAGAGGAGAGCTGAGGAACAGCCAGGCATGGTTTGGGAATGAAAAGAGGGATGGTTTGGGAATGGCCAGGGGGATGAGAACAGGGATGGTTTGGGAATGGTCAGGGGATAAAAACAGGGGTGGTTTGGGAATGGTCAGGGGATAAAAACAGGGGTGGTTTGGGAATGGTCAGGGGATAAAAACAGGGATGGCTTGGGAATGGTCAAGAGATGAAAACAGGGATAATTTGGGAATGGCAAGAGGATCAGCCAGGGCTGCTTTGCCAGGTGCTCCCTTGTCCTGTGGTGGAAGAACAATCCCAGGCTGCCGTGCCTGGCAGCAAAGCCCATCCCGTGCCCCTGGAGGATTCACAGCCTCCCATTCCCAGCTGAGAACTGGCACAACCAGCACAGCCCCGGGATGGGCACCCAGGGACGGGGTTCAGCCTCAGAAACCTCCTTCCTGTAGGTACAGACCCCTGAGGGTGGGCACTGCCC